TGTGTGGATCACACCAAGCTGGGGGAGCAGCAGATAAGTTGGAGGGCAGGGCTAGGATTTAGAGAGACCTAGACAAAATTGGAGGACTGGACCAAAAGAAATCTCATTACATTCAGGAAGGACATATGCAAAGTCCTGCAGTTAGGATGGAACAATCCCATGCTGGGGACTGACCAGCCAGGGACTGACTGACTAAGCAGCAGCTCTGCAGAAGATCTGGGGTTACAGCAGGCAATAAACTGAATATGAGCCCCTTGTTGTAAACAAGACTAATAGCATACTGGGCTGCATTAGTGAGAGCTTTGCCAGAAGATAGAGGTAGGTGATTATTCTCCTCTATTTGGCACTGAGGCCACATGTAGAGTACTGTGTTCAGTTTTGGGCCCTCCACAATGGAAAAGATATAGACAAACTGGAGAGTCCAGCAGAGGGCAACAAAAATGGTTTGGGGGCTGGGACACATGGCTTATGAGGAGAGGATGAGGGACCTGGGCTTGTTTAGTCCAGAGAAGAGAAGACCAAGGGGGGATTGAATAGCAGCCTTCAACTACCTGAAGGGTGTTTACAAAGAGGATGGAACCTGGACTGCTCTCAGTGGTGACAGATAACAGAACAAGGTACAACGGTCTCAAGTTGCAGCAAGGGAAGTTTAGGTTAGATAGCAGGAAAAACTCTCACTAGGAGGGTAGTAAAGGACTGGAACAGGTTACCCAGAGAAGTTGTGATATCTCCATCCTTGGAGTTTTATGTCAGGCTTGGTTACACAAAGCCTTATCTGGGATGATCTAGTTGGGGATGGTCTTGCTTTGAGCAGGAGGGTTGCATTAGACAACCTCCTGAGGTCCCTCTGAACCCTAATTTTCAATGATGCTATGGGTTTCCCTAACTTTTTAGTTTCCTAACTTCTCAGTGCTAAACTTTGCATCCTGAATGCCAATTTTGTTTAGCTTCTCTCTCAGCAAAAGTTGAACAGAATTTCAAAGGATGAAGAAACAGGCGTTTCTGTAATCAAAGGGCATTCTCCCCACAAATTTTTAAAGGCCTACTGCAAACAGTAATGTAGGACAGCTTGTCAAGGAAAACTTTGTAGAATCTTTTACAACAGAAAATTTTAGGCCAACTAAATAGAGGGGTCACTTCTAGATCTCTTTCCAATATAGGTATTTTTTCTTTAGCAATGATACAAACTTTAAAAAACAAAACTACCACCATCACATGAGCATTATTGTATCAGACACACGTGGGCATATTCGGCAGCAGAGGAAAAGGTGGGGGGAGCTGCATCAGCAGTGTTCCCCACTAAAGCAATGCTAAAAGGGTGGTTCTGTCCCAGGCTGTGCTGACAAGCCAGTGAGCTCAGACAGCTCACCGCTCACGTGCTGCACAGCCTACAGAAAGAGCAACCACACACACCTGCCCCCTGCCCCCCAGTATTGCAATACATTCTGAAATCAGGAAACATGGATTTATATTATTTGTATGGGTAAACACCCACCATCCCAGCCACGTCCCACTGTACTGACATGAATTAAAATCTCTTAATTTGTGCATGTTCACAGGCTTATATATAACAGGATCCAGTTTACTGTGTGAATACAAGAGGGACAGACTGCAGAGAGGATGCTTAGCAGCACATTCCCTGCATGGTGCTCTAGGGATGGTTTGGAGGCATCAGTGAAATCAAGCCATACCTCCATAATCTCTGTGAACTCAAAGGACAAACAACCCAGTATAAATGGCACCCAAATAACCATAACCACTGCTACCAAACCTGGCTTTTACTTTGCCTCTGAAGGCAAAACAGAAGTCTGAATTTGGTATGTAACAAAATATAAAACTCCATTAATGCACTTTTAGGCAACTCTTCTGCTGCAGAACTGCACAAAATTGCCACAGCAGGCAACAGAAGGATCAATCCAATATATGACTATCTTTGGATCATGCTGAACTGTTGTATGACTCCTGTGTTCTCAGTGGCACTCACAGGAGTGGGGGCTGTCCAGAGAAAAGGAATATGCCATACAAGCCCTGGCTCCAGCAATTTTCCAGATGCAATAATAGCCTGCTGGGGGCTTTGACAGCCAGAATAAATAATGTCCTTACACTGTTCTCCTTTGCACTGGGAGAAAAGTCAGTAGCAGACCAAGGAATAGAGAAGCACAAATTTAGCTTTAGTGCCAGATTTGCAGTGCCCTCCCCAGCTGTATGTTGTGCTTCTCAGATATGGTCAGTGCTCAGAGCTATACAGTCCAAAACTAGTATTTAAATCTTGTACTGGTCTATCAACATGAGCATACCTATATTTGCATGTTGCAATACATTTACTATACAGAAGAAACACCAACATAAATATTTTATCCTGATTAAATGATGCCCAAATACAAGTAACCACGTTATGAAAACTCCCATATTTCTACCTCAAAACAGTGTTTCTTAGCTTTTTGGCTAAGAGGTATTTAATATCAGATATATTGTACAGTAGAGGGGAATATCTTACATGAATGGTGGCAGACACTAATGTAAAATGGTTCCTTTACTTCTTATAATTAAATGCAGAAACATGTTAAAAGTTTCACAATTACAGTCAATGGGCACCTATACACATGCCAGACATCTGCTCTGATGCGTGCATGTGTCAGAGCAGACTCAATTAATGGAGTCTGCTGGAGCATGTTAATTAACAAGCTCCAGGAGCCTCCATATTGCGTCTACTTGGCGCTTCCGCTCTTCAAAATGGCAGCAGGAGCGCTCATCCAACGAGCTTTAGTTCAAGCACCATCACCATCATTTTGGAGTGCAGGACGCTGAATCCACATGACGCTGCAGCCTCTTTAATTAGGGCGACTCTCAGAGCCTCTCTAATCAAAGCGCCCCCTCTACCCCAAAGCACATGTATAGATGCGCTATTTCTGGCCACAAATCAGCACCGGCAGAAAAAGTTAGCATGATAGCCATACAGCAGTTGGTAATGAATGGAAAAGCTGCTGGCTTTCATATTAATATGCACATGCAGAGGGAGTGAGACAGTAGGCACGAGCTTTTCTCCTTACCTCTCCATAGATCCGGAAAGTACCACTATCTTCCTCAAGCTCGATTGCTGTAACTCCTGGGACCTTCCTGGCTTGCTGTATGTTACTACCATGCGTCCCTATTGCAAGCCCCATTAAATCTTCTCTGACGACAAACTCCTCATGAAATGCTGCTGCAAGTTGTTTTGTACACTTCGAAGAGAGGACAGAATTTGTTCACCGTAAGAAGGGCCTCAGCCTTGAACACAGTTAGATAATTCTTGCAACCAATTAAACAAAAAAGAATGATAAGAAACAGCTTACCTCTAAGTGTTTTGTGGCTTCCTCATTTCTTGACATGAGCATTAGCTTGGTACGAATGCTGCGCAAATGCATGTCACTTAATATAGTCACTCTTTTCACTGTTGCTTCGCTAGCAGACTACAGCAAACAAGAGGGAAGATAAGGGTTATTGCTTTTAAAAAGGCAATCCACATTCAGCGAGAAAGTAGAAATCAGGATGGACTTTTTCACATAAGCTGAATTTCAAATATAAACCTCAAAGAATCTTACAATGAGATGTTCCTCTAATAGATATTTAATTTCAAATAAAATTGGGGTTTTTTGTTTTTCTTCTTTAAATCATCATGTGTGTTCAGGTCACCCACGGAGTCCATGGGAGAGCCACATAAGCAACCAGAGAAAACTAAAAGTGAACAGGCAGATTTACATGGAGCATTTAAATAAAAATAGGACTAAAGATCCCATGTTGTCCTTCTGTGCCTAGCAATTTTCCTCAAGCCTATCACTTGCTTAACAGGTCGTGCTGATGATTCTAAGGGGGGAAAAATGAACAAACTTAGGCAAAAATATTTTCTTTTTCAAATAACCCAAGCACATTATTTTTTCAGAAAAGGTGCACCACTGGAACACATTATCCAAGAGAAGAAAGGTAGTTCCCAAACCTACACTGTTTTTAATGCATTATGGACACCCCTCTAGGGACATGCTACCAAAAGATATATTTAAAGTGATCGTACCAATATATCCTTGCATTAAATTTCCTATAATTTGTGCAGTTTTACAACTGAATATATTTTCTATGTGGATATGTACAGTCTGTAAGCAACTGAAATGCTCTAAGTGGACCAAAAATTAATGTACTGCTTAGACAAAAAAAATACATTTCTTACCAGTATTATTAATTGAGCAGTTTCAGCATGATAAAAAATCCGACAAGCTCCTACAGCTTTCTTAAAATCTTTATGTGCATTTTCATTAGCGCACCTACAAGAAATGAATTATTTGTAAAAGGTTATTCCAGTTGAAGATAGCATTATCAATAAATGTGGTATAGCCCTATACTTGAAAGCTAACTATGCGGCAGCTAACTTTTGTAAAAATGATCTTTGCTTGGGAAATGCCTAAGGCAAGCAAGTGTACAAACAGTCCACCTCATTTCACAGTGCATGCACAGGGTGAGGTAAAGCAGTGAGCAACTCATCCAGTTGTCCTATAATACAGTAGCAGTACTAACAGCTAATCAGTACAGGGCTATAAGCTCAGGAAGCAGCCCCCTTGGCCCAGTGCTCTGTTCTCATGCTGTGTAAGTCAGGGACAAGAAGGCACTTAGCTCAACCACTAGATAATCACACCAGCCTTCTGGAGTGAGACGCAGCGTGCAACTGTGCTAGAGCATGATTTCTGTGAAAACTGGCCATACTGGGGGAAACACCAACACAGGTAGGAAACCACTGCTTTAGCATTTATTTGAAGTATCATGAAAAGGGCTGTCTGCACTTACTGAACTATTTTGCCTCTCTCAAAAGCCAAGTATTAAACAAGCTTAAGACACATGGAAAAGATGCAAGCCATACTGAAATAAGTAACAGTGATGTTATGGTATTCAGAGTTACTCACGCATCTCTGAGATCTTCAGGAACTTCCACTGTACACTTAAAAAACGTGTTCTTTTTGACAGTTTTATTTTGGTTCACAGGTCGAAGTCGTTCATATGTGACAATTTCATTGTAAGTAGCGTCACAGGCAGCATATTCAATGACATAAAACTAAGGGGAAAATGTTTTGTGAAAAATCATTGTTAACTTAAAAACAGACATTTCACAAGCACAGGGACAGATTAACTAACGGTCACCCTCAACACAAAAAAAAAAGAAATAAGTTTAGCCATTAAAAAGGAATTCTACTTTGGCATAAGGCCATGACCTAGCAATGTTATAATTTTGGGCAGATTTCTGCACCCGCTCAGTGCTCTATTGAAGCCAGTGCTTAACCTGTACAAAGCACGCTCATTTTTCATGTCGTTTTTTTTTCTGACAGCCAGTTTGACCAACTCAATTCAAGATGACATTTTAAATGGTTTTCCTGCTTAACAGTTCTGCAACAAAAACTTAACAGACATTTTTCTAAAAAGGTTGAGGCATAACAGAATATACTTCCTTCTACATAGATGTATTCGCTCTGCAACAACAGCAGTAAATACATTTTTTTTTTTAAATCACAGAAGGACCAGGAAAAAGGAAGAGACTAATCTTCCTTTTTCCAAGCTACAGAGTTACTTTGTATTTGTAGTTTCTAAGAGTAAGACATTCCCACCCACCCCCACAAAAATGGTTTGTGCCAGCCATGCAGATTCCTTACATATGTTCCCCAAATCCTCTTCTCAAAACTTTAGGAATGCAGGAGTGTGGGATTTTCTCCTGCTCCCCCGCAAATACAGGTGCTCAGTTTTTGACAACCCATACACACTTGACTCAACCACCCCTTCCAAAAGCATGGATATATTCATTAAATAGTTCTGTGATTTCCACAAGGCAAGTTCCAATTATAAATGGAATTCTAAATCTTGACTATGAAGCTTCATTAACATAAATTCAGGGTTGGCAACATTTTTGGGCAGAGTGCAGCTGGAACATGTTGGTGTGCTAGGGATGGATGGCAGGGGAGCTCCAATAGGCTTGATCCTTGTTGTGGCAGCACAGTTCAGGCCCCTTCCCTGCCATCTGCCCCGAGACATGAATGCACCCACCCCCAGCAATGAAATGGACAAAGGCTCCACAGACCCCAGTGTAGCTGTGAGCAGCCTGGGCTCCATGCCAGGCAGCAGAGGCCTGCCCAGAGCGCGGGCTGGCTGTGGGAAGGGGCTGCACCACAGTCCACAGAGCCCTGGCCTGGCTCATTGCTGGTGGCGGATGCACTCATTCTCAGGGACAGACAGCAAGGAAGGGGCCCAGGCTGTACTGCCACAGCAAGGATCGAGCCCCTGAGTGGCTCCCCTGCTATCCACCCCAGGCATGCATGCACCCGCTGTTGGTAAGCCAGGCTGAGACTCCGCAGACCCTGGCACAGCTGCTTGCAGAAGAAAGTCACAATTCTGCTGTGGGAGTGAAGAGGAAGTTGAAATGTATTCAATGTAGTGGCTCACCATGACTTTAAAAAGTTGGTGCTGGAAGGGCTAAGCACAATGGGTGCTACCATGTATCCTATTCAAATAGACTGCACTAACCTATCTATCAGTATGTTTGCCCAGTGTGTTTTATAGTCATGCTCAGTATTGGCTGCATATAATCATCTTCATAGTTGGTTTTCATTACTGAACACATGCTGCTTTAGGCAGCAGTTTAAATGATAGATAATGTATCTAATGAGGTTTCCTTGTATGCAAATGTAAGATGAAGAACTGTTTTCCCCCTGCTGACTGTGGGGGATAACCTTGTCTTAATGTCTTATCCTTTGAGTAAATATGTTAAGAAGTGACAGAGTAAAAGAGACAAATGAAGCATGACAACAACCTCTACTGTCAAACTTGATGAGATGTTTGGGGAATCAGAAGGCTGGATAAGTTCTCATTTGTATATATACAAATTTCTTTGTTGTATAATAAAAAAGGCTGCTTATCATACAATTACGGACACCTACAGCTTCTCACAATTTAAAATTCAAGTATCTAATGCCCTGTCAAATAAATTAGCTGGACAGAAGTAAAATTACAAGCTGCTTTGGAATACAAGAACAATGATTAACCCTTATAACACAGGGGATGGATGAGACAAGTTCCAATAGAATGTGTAAAATGTCACAAAGGTGGCTTGCAGACATTTAAAGAAACAAACAAACAAAAAACCCACACTTTACCAGAAGTAGCAACGTGTTACTTTGACCCAGCTCTGCAGCATCTGTACAGACTGGGCACTTCAGCAGGGCTTTTTTGCACTTTTAGCTAAAGCTGATTCAATCAGCTATTAGATAAAGTACCAATAAAGCCCCATTAGCACACCTGATCTATACAGACACTGGGCGAGCCACGGCCAACTAACACATTGCCTCTTCTGGGCGTGCACTGGGCTCAGTGCAGGAGCAGGCCAAGTTTAAGGTAAATCACTTTAAAAAAAAAAAAAAAACACACATCTGCAAGCAGCCAAAATGACTTTTCCTGCCAGTCTGTTTACTCACCCAGAGCAGCATAAGAGAAAATTTCTAGATCAAATACCAGAGGAAGATCATTTATTTCAGATGAAATGGTAAAGTTATGCTGTATTCCACATGAGTCTGATAAAGAACAACTAGTTTCAACAAACAACTGCACCAGACATTAGAGTCTACAAAACACACATCCATTTACTCAAAACCCGGATTCTTGACTGAGCTTTTAGACCTACTACTTTTCAAACAGACTTAGAAACATCTCCCCCAATCTCTTCCAATTATAATTTCCAAACTTTTCTGTTTATTGTTCTAGCCGTTCCAGATATTTCTAAAGTACTCAACCTAACCAAATTTCATCATTTCTTTGTTTGCATTTTAATCTGCCTCAACATGAAGTCAGCCACTTAACAGTTTTACTTCCAAGAATTCATGTTGATCCAGGATGCTGTTTCATTTAAGTTCACAATACTATAAAAGTAATATTGAAAAATAATTCCACTCTCTGCTTTAAAAGATCAATCTGAAAAAAAATTGGATATACATTAGGTTTTGTCATTCATTAAGGACTCATTAAACATTTAGGTTTTGTAATTCTGTTATTAAAAACACACACACACACACACACGCACTAATGTTTGGACTTACCTACTCAACACTTACTTCATTTTATTAATAAAAGTAAATTTATGGAAAACTTTTTTAATCATTAACCTTCCCCAGTAATGTTTTCAATTAAAACATGGCTGCATTTTCATGGGAAAAGAAGCCAGAAGATTATTTTAAATAATTTAAATTAAAAATACGGTCTCCTTTCACTAAGGTAGTAGAAACATAAATGGAAAAACAATCCATACAAAATGGTGTAACATTATTTATTCATTAGAACTGAATAAACAGTCTACCAATAGGTTAGAAGTCCAAGAATGTGTTGCTTTCAATCCATGGTTTTTATCCTCACCCTGTTCACAAAAATAGGGTTTTTTTGTTAAGTCATGCCAGAAACCATATGTGTAGATAGAAACACATGGACCTGCAGCCAGGGCACATACTAATGTGGACATGGCTTAATCAGAATTCAGCGTGTACTGTGGTTCATCTACAACCTGACTCAAGCTGTACCAGGCAGATAAAATGGTAGTCTTCCCCCTTAGACAGCATATTATCCTGAATTAATGTTTCTTGGTACTCACAACTGTGCATAAATCAGCCAACTGCATAGTACTACTGCCTACAGAAGCCCTAATTTATAATCCGGTTTGCCATCATGTTCTTCCGTAAGCAAAACTTAAACTTTGCACGTCTTCTCCTTTTTGTTGAGCTATGCTTCGCTTTCTGGATTAGCCAAAACCCACTCTACCCTGAAGTCTTGTTCAGTTCCTACAACATTATACTACTGTGTCGTGCCTTTGTTGCGAGCTCCTACACAACCAGACCACATACAAGTCTTACATTACTGCTGGGTGAACTGCTGTTCTCCTGGGGAAAAACAACAGATGTACAAGCGTTCATGCAATTTTTCCCAGGGAACATGCACCTTCCAAGATAAAAGCTTCCAGGTTTTAACCTAGAAGACCTCCCTTGTGAAAGAGTTTGCTCGAAAGAACAAACATTTACTGTGTTTACACAAAAGTAAAATGACCCCCCCCCCCAATAATTAGATTCTATATATGGAAAATTTATAAATTTCTTGTATAACCAACTGCCTTGTGCCCTGTCCACTTTGTCCCCCTGCAGCCTGCCACGTGCAACCCTACCCCCAGGGGACAGGAGGCTGCAGTGGATCTGACTCCCCAAATCCCAATGCTCCCTGCCACTTGACAGCCCCTGTGCCAGTAGCCCCAGTACTCAGCTGCAGGTACTGACTTTGAAGTGCCACACAGAGAAGGAGCCCTGTGGGATATTTTAAGCCCTGCTACTCCTCTCTCCCCATGACTGGAAGAAGCAGAGTAGCCTTTGTGCCCCACACCTTCCCCAAACCGACCCCCGATCTAGGGAAAGCAGGGAACAGAGAGCAGCTGCAGGTTAAATGCCTGTACTGCTTCCTCTGCCAGAACAATTTCTAGCAGTGAAAATTTCCCCAAAATTTCCATTTTTAGAAATGAATGCCTGCGTGTAGCCCAGATTTAACGAGTCTCGCACTACATCTCTTCAGGAACCCTGGTTTGTTCTGATAAAAAACGTGGAAAAATGTGCCTCATATATACACATACACATGCATATATACACGTGTGTATATAGATATATCTATACCTCCATCTCTATAGGTATTCGTTGAACACAGTTTTATTGATATATTTACAAATTTAAAGCAATTTAGAAGCCTACCAGTGCCTCAATCATTACATCCCCCATTATCTCCCAGCTGCTCCTGGCCACCTCAGTTATTAATCCCACGACTCATACATATTCATGGTCTCCAGGGTCTCCCCTGGCAGGGAGTGCACCAAGACAGAAAATTACTAGGAAATGAGCACAGGGCAAGAGGCGTCCAGCAGCTAGTGCCCATCCCCACTGGTCCTATGACTGGCATGCAGACCTCCCCCCACTCACCAGTCTGTCTGCGCAGCTCAAACAGATTGAAAGAGACCAAGCCCTGGCTGCTCTGCACCCCACCACATGCCTGTGCTGACTCTGCTGCCCTCCTGGCACAGCCCCTGCCCAGGCATTAGCCTTGCCCCCCCCCCCCC